TGCCCCTTTGAATCTGGCCAGCCAGAAACTCAGTGGCACATGAAAGACTTAGGATATTGTACTACAGACTCACTGCATTGCAGTCCTCACTTCTGCATCTTTTACAGTCAAAATTTAAAGGTCTCCAGGGATCAGAGTTTTCACTGTTTCCCTTAGGAGATTATTACAAAATCTAATAGATCTGGCTTTCAAGGGAAATTTCCTTTGTATTTATCTTAAATTTTCTCTCTCTTAATTTAATTCCATTAGTCCCATCTACTGTATCCTCTTGTAATATACTGTGCTAACAAGTCTTTCTGCTTGGCGTTCAGATTAGAATCATAGATTCACTGAATATCTCTGATAGTTAGAAGGAAACCATGAGGATCATTGAGTCCAGCTCCTGGGTCCACACAAGTTATGTTTGTATAAAAAAGATAGTGATATCCCTTTCTCTTAATTGTCATTTAGTCAGTCCTCTTTGTTTCTCATAGTCTTCTGCCATTTATACCTTTTAACATATTTTACTTGATCTTCACTAAACTTCCACCAGTTTCTCTGTTTATAAATGTGCTGGGACAAAAAGTAAAGTCAGGACAAGTGAAAGTTGGAGAATATGCATCACTGATTGAAAGCTAAAATCACTAGAGAAGTTTCTATAATTACCCAATACCATCACCTATATTATATATATAATTATCCTATATCTATCGCCATTTTGACATACTAGTAGAAAAATATTTTTTCTATTGCTCTGGAGTTACTTTGTATTTATGTAGCTTCAAACTGATTATGTATTGGATAGAGCACAGGTTACTTACCAGCTCACAGCACAAATGTTGTCAGAAGTTTGGTAGTACTAATGAAGTATCTTAACTGTCTGTAGAACAGAAATGTGCCAGAACTGCTTTTTTCAATAGACAGTGACAGGTATCTGCAAAAATGTTACAGAGATGAAATATGTGAGTACAGTAGTTCTCCAAAATTAGTCAACTTGTTGTTTCATGTTGGTTCATGACTGTTGCCACAATGTCTAACTCTTATAATTAAAATTGCTAGATTCTCACCCAAAATATTACTTAAATATACAAATCCTTGTTTTAGTACTGTTGTTGTTTTCTCAAAAAATGTAAATAATTTCTTGGAAAATTTAAATTACAGACAATAAGATGTGAGGAGAGATTAGGATATGTTGGGAGTACATTGGGTTTTTTTTCAGAACAGTTAAATTTCATTTAAAAAAAAAAACAAAAACAAAAGGAAGTCTGAGGGTGTTCAGAAACTAGTGTAGATCAGGAGATGCTGCTTTTTTCCCATTATGGTTCTGGAGCATTCATAGAATCACCAAGTTTGGAAAAGACCTCTGAATCATCTAGTCCAACTGTCTAACTACCACCAATGTTTTCTCATTAAACCATGTTCCTTAGTACCACATCTAAACATTTCTTGAACACCTCCAGGGACAGCGACTTCACCACCGCCTGGGCCGCCCATTCCAGTGCCTGACCACTTTTCGGGGGAAGAATTTTTTCCTAACATCCAACCTGAATATTCCCTGGTGCAACTTGAAGTCCTCTAATCCTATTGCTAGTTATATGGGAGAAGAGGCCAACCTCCACCTTGCCACAACCTCCTTCTCAGTAAAGAGCTATAAGATTTCCCTTTATCCTCCTCTTCTCCAGACTAAATAATCCCAGCTCGCCCAGCTGCTCCTCATATGACTAGTTCTCCAGACACCTCACCAGCTTCACTGCCCTTCTCTGGACACTGCAGGGCCTCAATGTGTCTTTCTTGTAGTGAGGGGCCCAAAAGTGAACACAGTATTTGAGGTGCAGCCTCACCAGAGTTAGATACAGGGAGACAATCACCTTCTTTGCCTTTGCTGACAACACTGCTTCTAATAAAAGCCAGGATGCCATTTGCCTTCTTGGCTGCCTGGTACTGTTATCCAATGAATCAATAGGTTTCCTAAAACTCAATGCTGAACTTCATTTTGTGAAGGGTGAGGTCCTTTGCCTCCATGTAGTCACTACAAGACAACACTCCTGGAACTTAATAGTTGTCACTTCTGAAGTCTTTATTTACAGTTTCTAGCTTCAATAAAAAGATGTGATTCTTGTCTGTCTTTTGTGCTGAATAAGAATAGTTGATATTTGTATGTATGTGCATGGTGACTGTAGGAAATAAATGCAGAGAACTTCATAAGGTAATTTTGCTTGTTGCAGCTTGTAAACTGCATTATATATCCTTACTGCTACGGATGACACTAATGTGTTGTTTTAAAAGCAGCTGCCAGGCCATTGCCCATGCATTTTCCATAATGTATATGTGCTCATGTATGATATTTAGACTACTCCATAGCTTCAAATGTGTCTGGAAAAATGGCTTTGATTAATTGACTTCCCTTTCCTTCTCCTTCCCCCTTCTCAGATGCAAGAGCTCAGTTCATTATCAGGGAAGATCAGAGGAGAGGAACAGAGTACCTAGGTCACACGTTGTTAGAGTTACAATTTTCCAAATACCCTAAGTAAAAAGTAGGGTATTTGGAAAATTGTAACTCTAACAGCGTGTATGTAAAAAGTAGGCAATGGGAAATATCTGGGATGGGAGAGGTCCTCTGTTTGAAGATCCTTCTACATTACAATTTTTTTATCTGCTTTTGCTTTTAGCTGTGCAGATTTGTATATAGATAGATAGATAGATAGATTTACATATATATAATCTTATTACATTGTCAAATCTATTTGCCTTTCTTATGTGTCACATTTTCAGTTAGGTGAGCATGAGAAACTATGAGCACCAATGCACTCACTGAGGACTGTTCTTTTCAGTGTTCTTTGTCCACTTCTTCCTTTTGTTAGGAAATTTCCACTCATGGGAACTTATATATATATATATGCATGTAATTTGAAAGCTAAAACTCACACTTCAGTACATCAGCTGACAACGTCCTTTGCTTCTGTTGGTATTTATACCTAAATAAATAGTTCGCTCCTTTTGATGTGTACATACTAAGAGTTTATTTCTAAATTTTATGTATGTTCACAGTATTTGTGGCATGCATAATTTATCCATAAAATCAGAATTTTGTACAAGTAGAATATTGTTAGTCAGAACCTAAAGTTTGGCTCTTTATTCATCATATTTTACTTCTTCAGTTAACATTATTACTGGTTAATAGGTGCACCTGAAAATCAAGCTGTATTGTAGTATCTGGTGCGTTATGTTAAATGAATCTTTTATAGGACAGCAAGTCTCTTTTTTTTTCCTAATGAAAAAGAATACCTCATCTTTTCCAATTTTCCTATCAAACCCATCCACATCATCTTGAGACACTACCACATCCAGCTGCATCAGTACTCAGCTTCAATTATATGAAATTAGACAACCTACTCTCAGGTCCTTTAAGTTCCCTTTTGCTGTTTGAGACACACGCACAGTGCATTTCCTGTGAAGTGCATGATTACAAACTATTCAGTACAAGCCTGTTTTAAGTAAACAGTAAATTAAATATTGTCAGTGCTTGTTCAGACAGGCTCTCATGAAGAAAAAAGAACTTCTAGGTTCAGGTTCATAAAACTCCCTAGATTTAAGAACAGGCCAGTCTGATTTCAGACATAATTTTTCCTTCTTAACTTCTTGACTCACCAGTTGTTCAACAGCTGGTTCAAAACATTATTTTCAGATGCTTATACGTGAAAACTGGAATAGACAAAATGCTGAAGGTAGCAAAATTCTTGTTTATTACTCAATTTGAGTGGAAAATTCCCAAAAATATTCTGTCACTAACTGTCAGGTAGATTGCTGCTTGAAAGACTGCTAAGGGTTTACTTGAGCAATGTTCCTCTTTCAACCATGACAAATACAGTGAAAAAACATCATTTTGTTATAGTTCTGGGTAAATTATTTTCTGTTATGACAATCAAACTGACTACAGGAGTTAAGAAAGAAAAAATATGGTCACTTTCCTAAGAAATGAGGATTTTTGAGTATTTCGTAATATCTTCAGTACTAGAATACTTGGTAATATTTGGAGAAATATAAATAAGCTTTAAGAAATCCAGAAGCTACAAATCTGCACTCGCAAAGTCTACTTTAATCACTGCCAGTTAATTCATTCCCAAAAGAAAGCAAAAGTCTTTTCTTCCGAGGAGTCAAATATTATTTTCATTCGTTCTGTAGGCATTTCAAAGAGAACAAGGGTTGCATGTGTGTGTTCAGGGCTGCGTGATTGATGATTAAATAAAGCAAGAGCTCCTTTCTTTATTGTATTTTATTTCTCTTTCTTTCATGCAAGTATGAGTGAGAAACTCTGCCAACTAATTCACAAATAATTCCAACTAAATTATCAGTGGTGTACAAAATGTCATAACACGGAGTAGATCGTGTTTCCAGTTCATCTCTCTATTAACAGCTTTCAATACAATAAAAAGACACAAAATTGAACAACTAATAAAAATATTAGAGCAAAAAGGATGAAAAATACTTGCTTTACAGATTAAGAATGTAGAGATCTAAAGCAATCTGATTTGTTCTTTGAAAATGGATTTGAGAGTAATGCTGAAACAATAGATTTGTATGAGTGCACATAAGGCCAATATGTTCAATGTTGTAATTTTTTTAATAGTTTCATAAATAGTTCTATCACCAACATTTCAAAGAAATCTGAAAAAAACAGAGCTCATATGTGATGGCATAAATTTAGTGTATTTTATAGAATGCTGTTACTGCAGATATAGCCTACAGGTTGTGACTTTTCATAAAAGCTAATGAATTTCTAGATTTGTCAACTGTTTCAGCACAGATGCACTTTGCTGATCAAATGGAAACATTTTGAGCCCAGATCCAAAATATCAACAGCTTTTAGTATTGAAGATTAGTTGGCTACTGGGGAAATGGGGATGTGGTTTTTGATAAAAAACAGAAGTAGTTTTGTATATGTGTTTTATGAGAACTGCCTCTTCAGTGTTTGATGCTGAGATTTTTCCCTTTTTTTTCTTTTTTTTTTTTTTTTCTCCCAGAGTTTTAAGTTGAATGTTGATAGCCACTGTGCTTTAAAAGAAGCAGTGGTAGAGGAAGGACGTCAACTTCTTGAGCTTATTGTATCTCACAAATCAGGTAAATCCTTCTGAAATATTGCAAGTCTTTATATCTCCAGACTATTAAAGAATGAAGAAGCATTGCTGTAAATTACTGCATATATTCACTTCCTTATGTATTATTAATATTTGCATTATCAGATTGACCTTCAAGATTTATAAATGTTTCATATACTGCATACAATGCAGTGATACTTATAAAATGAAATACTGCCTGCAAATAGTCTGTTCATTTTATTTTGGTCTTGCTGCTCAGTTGAGTTTCAATTGAAATCACATCAGTGAGAACTTTACACTGACACATTCTTTGATGAAGAAGCAGTGGCAGTAACATTAAGATAATGAATTAAGATTTCAAATATATGCATATATATTTTTACATACCCTGCATGGGTAATTGCATTGGTAAAACTTTATTTTGTCTCTTAAACTAATTCTTACATGATTTCAATATATTTATGAGGAATAGACTAAAATTAAAAATTCCTTCTTCCTTTGGTTAGGCTTGTCTTTTTCTGCAGAGGCCTTAAATTGAAGGGAGGGAGAGAGAGATGCTGATATCCCTTTCTCTTTCCCCACCAACCCCTATATTTTTAGATGTTTGCATGACTTGTATGATAATAGGGTTTTAATCAGTATATATTGCTATGTAATGCCATCTTTGTTTTGCCTGGTTTTCACCCAGGTAGAGGTTATCCTCTTGTTTGCATTTTTCTGATCATGTTACACATTGTGCCTCTATTGTTTCACAGTTTCAGGCAGATCTCTCTAATGTGAAAGCTGTAGGAAATCACTGACTTAAATGCATAGGCCAAAAAGCTATAGAAGCTATAGCAGAGAAGGGTATTGCATGTCATGCTATACTTAGAAAGTGGTAATATGTAAACTACTGAAAATATGAACAGATGAAGGTAGGAAGAAATGTATTTGGTAGATTGTGATATGTTTAAAGATTGGATATTGGGGGGTGGGATTACTGTAGCTTTTCCTATTGCAGTCAAATTCTATGTGGGATTTTCCTTTTCTTGAAAACTTTGGCATAAACATGATAAAATTTAAAATGATGGCTAAAATAACTTTTTGACCCAATAGCATTGTTTGCAGTGTGAACAATAGTAATGCTTGTACTCATTTCTGTGAAAATATGCTAAATATCCTGTTCTGTTTATTTAAGTATCCTGCTACTTCTTTGATTAAGGAATAATATTTAAAGATGCAGTTAAGCTTACAACTTACTTTTTTTTCCCCTTCATTTTGGAGAAGGACTGAAGGACATGCTGCAGATGATTGCAAGTCAATGGAAAGAGCTACAGAGGCAAATCAAACGGCAACACAGCTGGATTCTTAGGGCTCTGGATATCATCAAAGCAGAGATACTGGCTACTGATGTGTCTGCAGAGAATGAGGAGGGGACTGGGAGCCCTAAGGTAAGTGGCTTGAAGTTTGCCTTATTTCCTCTTATTTCCGTCTTCTTTTGAACTAGGCACCACTGAAGTTTTCTTTCCACCCTAAGGCTTTTCATTTCTACTGGGTAAACTTTTTTTTTCTATAAACAAAATGAAATGCCTTACTCTGAAACAATAAAAAATCTTCGAACTTTCAAGTTTTCCTGGAAGACCTTTCTCATTGTGTGCAAAGGGGCACGAGGGGGGAACATAAAACATTTAGTAAACAAAACATAAAGCATCTTTAACATGAATAATCAGAATGGTTTTAAATTGTTTTGTTGCAACTATAAATCACTATAATCAGTGCAATCACTCAGCTCTGACATCCATTAGCCGCTTGGTTACAGCAAATTAACAAAGAAGAGAGAAAGTGATTCATTATCTCATTCCTGTTAATGACTATCAGATGCATTGCTTAATTAGGGGATGGCCATTGTAGTGGGAAGAAGGTCATATGCCTTTTCACAAATCTTTTTCCTCTATGTCTTCCATAATAGTGCAGGTGCTGAATACAACAAGTACTTTAAGAATAAAGTATTGACACATATAACCATTTTGTGGATATTAATTATCAAAGAGAGCTATAGTACTTACCAGCTGCTGAACTTGAAACTTCTAAGAGCACTTTGAATACAAAGCATACTAATTCAAATTAGCACAAGCAGTGTAAGGACACTGCACAAAACACAAACTTATGGTGTAGGGTCCCTGCCCTTGCATTAATATCAGTAGAAAAAATGGTTGAGAGGTTGCAATGGAAGGTGTTGTTTTTTTCCATTGCATCCCAAGCAATGAATAATACAGCAGGGAGCCTAGTAACTCTAACATTTTGGCACACTGCAGGCAGAAATCAAGCTTCTTGTTTCTAGAAATAAAAAGTGCTTGTGCCAAGTAGATTTGATTCTGATACTAGACAATTCTTTGTATTGGTATTCACAGCTTTCTAGAGATCAGTTTGTGTAATAGTTTTTTGCTAGAATGTCATTGAATGCTATGATATTTTCTTATCATAACACAGGAAAAAACTATAGGCAGGAAATTCTATTTAAACTAATATGCCTAGTCACTTACGTGGTTCAAAATTATCCAGTATCTCGTAGGTTTTTAGTTTAGGAATTAGGAGGGGGTGGAACAATTCTTGGTTTTCACAGTTAGGTAAACAACCTAGCCCAAAGTTGTCTTTACCCCCCAGAAATATATCCCTGTGCCTCAGAACAGCTTCACTTTTCCATGGCCAAACACCTAACTGCTCAATCAAAATCATTACATAAAAAGTGTTCTATAATCCAGCTTGATTTTGCGGTGAAAATTATGGAAATCTGAACATAGAATGATTACATTCAAATACTTGATTAAAGAGGGAAAAATGTATAGTTTTTGTTTCAGCATTTTCTTATGTGGGTAGGTAGCAACTCCTTGCCTAACTCTTTTTATCATAGAGATAGGAACCTGAAGCAATACTTTTGTGAATACAGCTATATAAATAAAACTACAAGTGACAGAAATGATCAACTGAAAAGAATTTTTAGGTTATTTCATTAATTAAATCATATTGTATGCTTCTTGTAGGTATGGGTAGCAGTGCTGTCAAATACCATCCACTTATTCATGCTGAAGGATTAACTAAAATTAAAATACAGTTGATAATACAACCGTAGATTTTGGTTTGCATTTATTTCAAAAGCCAAAAGCAGTCTGAGAAGTATAATAGAAAATCTAAAGATTATATCTAGAGGGTATTTTTCTTTTCTGACTTGTTTGAGAAACTACAGAAACAGTGTTGGCATTAGAAATCTGTGAAGAAATAGGAAAAGGAGGAATTTCAAAGACCCTAGGAAGCCTTCCCTTAGGAGTTTTTAAATGTGTTTTTATAGCTCTATGGCATCTTTTCTGCAAGGAATAGAGTTGAAAGGAGAGAGAGAGATTCTGCACACTAGAAATACATCACCAACATTTGTATTGAAGAATTCAGATTTTGCTTATGAGATTATTTATTTTATTGTATGTATTTTTCCTACCAGCTTGTACTTTCAAGTTCAGTGTAGTGATTGCTGTAGAAGACTTGCAGTTTTTTAAATATTTCTGATAACTAAGCTCTTCTAATATACTGCATTCTTTGTATTAGTTCTTAGAAATGCAGTAAGATCTCCTCTTACGTATTTACCAAAGCTACTACTTTGTTGTGTTTATAAATAAAAAAAATTACTGCTGTATTCATCTCAAATTGGATTATGTAAATTCTGAGTTTTCTACTCCACTGAGAAATACCTTTAAAAATATAAATTTCAGAATTGCCACTATGCATTTCAACAAAATGCTTGATCTAACGTTACTAGCAACGTTTCATATGATATATATGTCATCCTTTTAGAAGGACACTTATTTAGCAATAAGGGATTTCTTCTGATAGTAATATTCCAAAATACCTGGAAATGAGGTATTGTATACATTTGTATATTGTAAATTTAAATTGTATACATGTGCATATCTGCTTTTTTCCATCTTCTCATGGGGTCTCAGACTTCTTGTTTTATAACTGACATCTTAATAATGTGGCCAGTACCTCTCCATCAAGAAAGGCCTATGGGAACAGTATTGCTCTCAATAAACAGTGGTATTGAAAAATAACTCAGTGTACTTTATTACCTTGAACCAGTGAGTGTTACTGCCCTAATATGATGCTGGCCTATTTAACTCCTGGTTTAGTGGAAAAGTTCATTGCCTACTAAAGAGCTTGTAAATTGCAATTAATGTACATGAAAAGTATAGACATCTCAACAGCATTTGTCCATAATGAACATTTAACTTTGTTCAAGATTGTATGAAATAGTACTCCTAGTGCCCATTATAAGTTCTATTTTCAGAATGTTTTTGGACAGTTAGCTCATGTCTGTAATTTTTGGGCTGTACAATTTTATTCTGCAATAAAACATTTCAGGGCATAACATCAGAACTTAACAGCTAGTAGGTTGAAAGAAAATAATCTACACTAGAAATATGAATGTAGTCTATACTTCTGGACATATTGCTTTCTAGAATAATTACTGTATTATTGAAAAAAAAATTGTACTTCTCTTTTCTAGCTTCAGAGGAATAACTATGAAACTGCCTAGTGCTTAGAATATTGAAATTAGACTTAGTTGTTACGAGTAAAAAACACTCCTGGGAAGATTCTTATCTCTATAACGACTATGTCTGTCAGTAGGTTAATGATAGAAGCAGTAAGCATTCGAGGAACATTAGAAGAGGTAAAAACTTTATATGAGGTAAACCTAAAATCATAGAATTAGTAGATAGATCTTCTGCTCAAGTGTTTGAAATGGTTAAACAAACCTCTGTCTAAATGGAAAAAGAAAACCAGCATAATTTCCCCTTCATATGTAATTAAATATCCCATGTTTCCAGCATCATCTCCCACTCAGTTATACGTAATCTTGAAGTTTCCAGCCATTCTGAACAAAGTCTTCCATATAAAGAAAAGTGATTTGCATAAAAAGAAATGAAAACTCGTTGAAGCTATTTAATATCTAACCACAGTTTATGATTCTGGGAACTGTCCTTGACAGTTTTATAGTGACACTGGTCTCAGACCTAGTGGCTGGAATAAACACTGTAGTCAGGAACAATTACATCTTGCTCGGTATTACAGTATGAGACTAAATTGCAAAATGGAGAACAGAGGAAATGCTCAATCTTTCTTCAAAAGGAAAGGTGCTGTAGCCCTCTGATCATCTTTGTGACCCTCCTCTGAACTATTACCAACAGTTCTGCATTCTTCTTATGCTGGGGGCTTCAGGCCTGGACACAGTACTGTAGATGATGCCTCACAAAGGTGGAGTAGATGAATGAGGACAATCACCTTTCTGTCTCTGCTGGCCACCCCTCTTTTGATGCAGCCCAGGATACAGTTGGATTTCTGGGCTGCAGGCACATACTGCTAGCTCTTGTCCAACTTTTTGTCCACCAGGACTCCCAAGCCTTTTTCGACAGGGCTGCTCTCAGTAAGTTCTTCATTCAGTTAGTCTATATGCATATTTGGGATTTGCCTGACCCAAGTGCAGCACTTTGCATGTGGCCTTGTTGAACTTCATTAGGTTAATCCCTCTGCATAGCATCCCTTCCTTCCATTGTGTAAATTGCACCACTCAGCTTGGTGTCATCAGCAAACTTGCTGACGGTACACTTGATCCCACTGTCTGTATCATGTATAATAAAAATTTTGAAGTGTAGCAATCCCAAGATGGACCCCTGGGGGACACCACCTCAGAGAAGTTGTGGATGCTCTATCCATGAGGGAATTTAATTCCAGGTTGGATGGGGCCCTGGACAGCCTGATCTAGTAATTGGCAACACTACCCAGAGCAGAAGGATTGGAATTAGATGACCTTTAAGTCTGTTCCAATCTAAGGCATTCTAAGATGGTAATAGTCCTTTCTTTATTACTAGAGAATTGTAAAAGATGGTAATAGTCCTTTCTTTATTACTAGAGAATTGTAACTTGTTCTTTGTTATAAAAAGAATATACAAGTGAAGTGTTTCGGAATCTCTGTGATTACTGCAGAGAAATACTGTATTTGTCCTTACATTTTTTTCTTTTTCTCAGTGTCTTTAATCAGCTCTAAATTTCTAAATCAGCAGACTTCAGCATGTTGTGGTAGGTTCCTCTGAAGGTAATGCCTACTATTATTTCCATGGAAATACATACCACAACAAAGAGAAAAATAACACTGTTTGATAGAGCAAATACTCAGCTACAAAACATTGTTTTTCAACATAGCCACCACCATTAGCTGTTCATTTTAACCAGAAGTGAACAAGAGCCCACATGCCACTCATAAAAATTTCCATCAACAGAGGTGACCTACTGTTTCACTGCTAATATGATGGTGTAGTTAGGAAAATACCTCCTCAGTCCATCCTTCGTTGGTCTGGACAGATGGAATTTAGAAGATCCCAAATCCAATGGGTGTGGTAGGACA